TTTTTTCTTCTATTGGTTTTGGTCCTACTACGGTCACTGTATAATTGTTATTGCGGCCTTTATCTTGTTTCTGTCATTGAAGGCCCTGTTCGATTTGCTACGCTTGTGTCTGTTGTTAAGATTGTAAACCAATTTTACGCACTTGTATTTTAATGCTTTTAAATGTGAAATACAATGATTGCATCTTGTGTCGCCGTATTCTACACAGCGCATTCGATGCGTTAAATCAGTGGTTTCTAACCTTTTTTTGACTAAGGACAACTATGACATTTTTGTTTTTAATAGAGACCACGAAGTACGTATGCATTTCTGGTATAATGTATAATGAATAATATAAGTGAATAGGTATATTATACGAGGGTCACTATTTATATTTTAAGCCTAATATTGAAAAAATATTAACTTGTCGCTGAAAATTGCTTTATTGTTTCTCGAAGTATTCTCCTTTATGATTAATACAGTTTTGCATGCGTTCGAACTATTTGTCAGAGCTTTTTTTCCAATTTTCTTCAGACACCGCCAAAACATGCTTTTTAAATGCAACAACGGTTTCTACTTCTTTCGCCGATAAAAACCATGAGCAGTTTATTCTTGACTTTCGGGAACAAGAAGTCATTGGATACCAAATCAGGACTGTGGCGTGTGTTTGTTTTCCGAATTTCACTGAAGACTTTCGGTAAACAAATGGTTATATGCCATTTGAAATTGACCGTTTTACGTTCCTGTAATGGTACTCGTATAGTTGCCACATAACCAATTTTTCCGAAAAAATAAGCGATAATTTGTTTCGAAGTGCTTCGCACGCGAACAACTTTTATTGTATTTAATTCATCTTGAAACACCCATGAAGTCGACTGCTGTTTACGTTCAGGCTCATACCTATATATTCATGATTCGTCACCTGTTATAATCTTTTATACTAAAACGTCTTTTGAAGCACCGCCATTGTAACTTTTGAGCATTTGTGTGCAGCAATCAACACGAGCATCTATTTGAAATTTTTTCATATGATGGAGAAAAGTGCAATATTTTATATATGTTGGTGGAATTTATGCCCAGGGTTCTGTCAATCTTATAGTATGTCGCATAGTGATCTTGCATTAAAAGTATTTCTTTATTTAGATCCATTGCTGAAGCTCCGAACACCTTTTAAGTAATTTTACTGCTGAATGTTTTAAATTTATGTGCTATACAAAACAAAACAAATTTCACACTGCATGGCAGTTCATGATATTGTAAACTGTACTGTCAGTTCATGTTGTCATCAAGTTCATCTCACGTTCATGATAGTATAAATAGGCCTTATGGTAGCGTTCTTTCCGTAACGACGCAATCACTTGCATTGTACAGCTTGTATTAATATATGTACATTAGGGTGCCATTAATTTCCGAAAGTTGGAAAATTTTGTAAGTACTTTCAAAAATCGTGCGATTTGAACTGCTTTTTAGTTAAGCGGTTTCAAAAAGGTTGGACTAAATAACCCAGCAGTGTTGTTGTTTCACATGTTATTTCCAAAATAAGCGCTTGTTATTTTGTGATATACATACTTTCAAAAGAAAAGGGCTAATATAGAAATGGTTGATATATTTTCTATTCATGTTATTAGTTTGGGTTTTTGGGTGATTTATAGGGCGACGATTTTTTTTTTGCTTTCTTCTGCTTAATTAGTTTTGCTGCATCGGACGAAAGGGCAATCAATGAAGTGCAATTTTTTACTTTAATTTTGATTTTTTTTTTTTTGTTGATAATGAGGGAATAGAGAGAAAATGGCGTTCGATAGTAGTCAGAGACGCAGAAGAGTTGTTTGGTGCTGAGTGGACGGACAAACACCACCAACACTTCTTCTATTCTTCATTCTTATTGCACACTTACTAAATGATTTCGCAATATTAAGGTAATATTTCTGAATTTAATGCATAGTCTTAACTATTTAATGCATAGTCTAAACTATTAAAAAAATATTTTGACAATAACAATAACCCTTGAACAATATCCATTACGGGATATTGGTTTATACAAATTTAGTTATGGTAACTTATTTTAACAATATTATTAACAAACATATTGTGTTTCAAATATTTAATTACTGCAACTTGTTTTGACAAAATTGTATCCAAACACACATTACCTACGGGATATTGTTTTGATATAATTTTGTATGATCATTAAAATTAATGTTCATTAAGTTATACTTTCCGTAAAATATAAAAATTTGACTTTGTGTGCATTCAATGTAGAAATTTTTCTAAATTATTATAAATTTGATTTTTAATCAAATTCTATACTGGTTTCATACAAATATATGAACTTTGAGGTCAGTAAGCACCGGCTGTAGCGCAACCATAGCTATTGTTAGTGTAAATGGTATTAATATGTTCGATAGTAAAGAGAGTACTATGCCCTACAGTAGCAATGATAATTTATACCTAATTATGTTTTATACTTTAATATATATATAATTAAATATATGTTTAAGTTGTTATAATTATCAATTATATAAATTATTTTAAATTGAATATTTACAAAATTTCATTTAATCATTAAAATTCTGTAAATATTAAAATAAAAAATTGCACTTCACTGATGCAGCAAAACTAATCAAGCAGAAGAAGGCAAAACAAAAAATCGTCGCCATAGCAACAATTTCTATACTATATCACACACATCTTTATACGCACATTAAACAGCTCTTTTGTGTGTTTCGAACACTTAAGATCATTGTGTTATACGCGGCTTTTGTACGCCTTGATTGTTCTACAATCCAAATCTCATATGTGCTTTTAGCTGGCTGCTATGAAATTACGAGAATAATTTTTTTGTTAGACTTTGATCACTGCGTAAATGTATATGATTTTGAGTACAGACACTTTTCTTGAAAAAAGTTGGTTTGATGTTATGAAAAGTATGTGAAAAGTTGTGTTTATATATATAAATTAAAGACTTAATTTATTTACTGTTTTTTTTTAAATTAACTGTTAAATGTTATATTGTGAATAAATTGTTGCCTAATGTAATATAGTTATTGTTAGTAAAACATCTAATCTATTTCATTTTATCATTTTTAATTTTATCGGTACATGTAAAAACAAAATTGTGCAGAAGCCGCACACCCATTCAGGTAGGGCACGCGTCGTCACTGGCTTGAAGATATATATTTTTAACAAACAATATATAAAACCAAAAAAAATCAAAAAAAAATAATATACGAAATCTTATATTAAAATGTTAACATATGTTTCTTTAAGTCCAATCATAAACTACAATTAGAATGTTACGCAGTGGCGAATAATGCATATGCGTTAATTTATTGTATATATAAGACATACATATATAAATAAGACAAGATATACACTTTTTTTATATATACATATATATACTCTATTTAAACTGCGTCCCAGAACTATGATAACAAACGAGTATTTCTTTATTCCACCAGTTCAACAAAATTAAGTCTTTTTCTAAATGCGAACTCTAAAAAATCAATTTACAATTTAGACAGTGTGCCTGCAGCCAAAAGGGAGAAAAAATATTCATGCTGCGTATTACGATACATAGAATATAATATTCTAATATTCATATTTTATTTTATTAATGCGAGAAAAAATAGAGCATAAATATATCGAATATGTACTTCGAATAAACATTTTGCGGGCAACTGCTCCCAATTCTAACTATTAATATTCATTGTATCAAAATATATGTTATAATCTTTTTCGACGAGTGTCGCAAGTAGTGGCAGCTTCAGCATACCGAATGAATGAAAAGGATAGCAAGACACCGCGGCACTAATCGGCTGCCGCTAATAAAATTTGCGGCGAATACCAGCAGTAAAACTATCTTTGACAGTTGCCTTTCAAGTCTCTTTTGTTTTTATCCGCAGTTTCTATTTGATTTTCCATCTAATAAAGATCAACAAACAGTCGTAACAAAAAATACTTTTTGTGTGCAAGACTTTTTTCGAAGAAACTTGAGTTGATTTAGTGAAGTAAATTAAAATCTGAATAGTTTAAAATGAATTTTAAACCTGAATTAGCACATCCGAATATTTTAAGTTCTATTAAATTAATTCGACTGGTGCGTTCTTACCCAGTACTTTATGTTGAAGGCTACACTGACAAAAATAAAAAAGATGCCGCATGGGTACAAATATATCAAGAGTTTTTCCCAGATTATTTATCATCAAGTGATTATCAGAAAAAAGCAATTGGTGAGTACATTTGCATACAAAAACTTCATTAATAACTGATTGTGTAATGAGAAACATTTATGCTTATAAACCTTCAATGAACGATGTAAGTTATTAATTATATTTGTTAAATGCATTTTTATATGCAACTCTATTGTATTAAACATTTACTATATATAGTCAAATAAAATAAATAAATATCTCGATATTAAAGAATTATTATTATTAATTATATCACTTTTTGACGTGCTGTAGTAAATTTGGAATAATTTCAATAAAAGGCAATACAAATTTTACAATTTTTCATCACAATTTACTTGTATTACACAGCTCGCAAATTTAAAATGTATTTCGTGTGTTTTGTACCGTTTCATGTTAGGGGTTGATTGAAGATGCTTCGTGCAAATAAATAGTCGACCGTGTTTTGATATAACCTAGCTATATACTTTATTTTATTTTTATAAAACTCTTTTATAAATCAAGACAGAAAATACAGCGTAAGTCACGGCACATAGCCTTCAACAAATTAGTTTAGCTGATCAGATGTGCACACGTACCTAAATTTCTCTCGATATAGTTTGATATATCAACAAACAGTCGTACGCATAAATTTATCGATATATTACAGTTGCACTTCGATTAAGGCCGATTGGAGCTCTTACTATGCATTTAAAACGAAATCAATCTGAAATAATAATTTCATAATAATTTTTATAATAATAATTTTTTAACATAAATCATTAAAAAAATACAATTCTATTATTTTAACTATTATTGGAAGAATTCTACTAAATTATAACTAAATGGGATGAAATGTTGAAATTTAGTTAACATTTGCTTATATTTTTTCCGTGTATTTGTCATTTTATTTTCAACGCTTGTTAGTTCGCCCGCACTGGCGAAAATTTTTGTTGAGGCAGCAAGTATTGATGTTCGCTACAATGGCCGCGGTGCGCAGTGAGCATTGGCGAATGCTGCTTGTGAAAATGAGATGCATATAGTTTTTTGCAGTCTTCGCTGTAAATTGTGCTGTGGTGAAGGAAGATTTGTAGTGTACGCGTTTATTTTGGTTGCTGGTTGCTGGTCGCTGGTATTAAAGTGTAGTAGCGTTTTGTGTATTGGTGTGTAATTTTCTAGCTCTGTAAGGAGTATTGACTACAAAATGAAAAATAAAAGTAAATCTGGTTCCAAAACTGAGTTCTTAGAAGTAAATTGTGTGAAATTAATTCAGTTAGTACGTAGCAATGAAGTTCTTTATAAAAGTGACAATAGCTTGTACAACGATAAAATTTATAGAGAAAAAGTATGGGAACGTATCTATGCTACTTTGTTTCCAAAATATTCTTCAATGGACGAAAAAACGAAGGAAATTGTTGGTGAGTAGATTTTGCTTCATTATTGATGTGAGACTATCAAGACAATATATTTAACCAATTAATGGTAGAAGTAGATCTCCGTAACTAATCCCAGGTTATTGCTTAAGTTTTATATGCTTTTTGCAAAGCGTAGGTTTGCATTTTATGTGAAAACATTTAATTAACGCATACGCGTAAATATGGGGGTAAATTAGGTTTCACTGCTCTTGGAATATTCTGAGAAAACAATGTATATTAAGTTGCATTATTTTACTAAAATGCGGAGCTTATAACATCATATATAAATATCTAAATATAAGAATTGAGCTGATTTATGGAAAAATTTTAGTTTGCTAATATTTTTTTAACATATTTATTTTAGTTATCAGAAATAATTACTTTTCTTAAAAGTTTTCTACGTTCCTGCATAACGTTTATTTTTCAAAAATGAGTTTTTACGTTTATGACGTATGTACATACTTTCAGCGGTTAAAAAAAATAATTCGTCATTAACTTAATTTTTATAAAATGTTGCAACAACGACAAAACGCAACAGAAAAATGTAAAAAAAAAAAAATAATGGAATTTTCAACTATTGTGCTCTGTTTTTTGTTTATATTGTTTTTACTGCGAAAATTTAAACTTAAAATAACAAAATATCAATTCTATTGCGGAACAACAAAATATGAAGCAAAAAAAGTATTCGTCATTTATAAGCAGACTACAATTTTGGTAAGATAAAACAGGAAAGTCCCATTTTTTATTTTCTATGAAGAAAGCAGGGTTTGACTCCTTGATATGAAGTGTTTTGTGCGTTGAAATTTTAACGTTTTCAAAATGAACCGTAAGCGGAAAAAGGTTTCTGATGAAATTAAAATAATTATAAATATTAGGGGTATTAGGGGTATTCACTCTCTCTGGCAAGGAACACGAAATGCAATAATGCAAAATAGTAAATAGACCAAGAACTACTGTTCAATATATTATTAAAAAGTGGAAAAAACAAAGTCAGTCGAAAATTAGTAGTTTTGTAAAGCGAATGAGCGGTGGTTAGTACCAAAAATTCCCAAAACAAATGCAACGATTCTTTGCAACAACGTTCAGGAATATTTTGAGAAGAAGCTACACCACAAACCATTCAAAATTCTATTTAAATTTGAAAGAACTGCACGAAAGTAACCATTTATGGAATTTAAAGAATTACTAAATATCAATCTAAATTTAATATAAAAAATTTTTAATTTTCGGTTTTGTTCCAAATTTATCAAATTAAATAGTGGATTTATTTAAAGCTCTCTCGAAATGATTTGAAACATCTAGATTCTTAAAAAACTTAAGCATTGCTTAAGTGCAAATACGTTTTCCAACAATGTTATTAAATTATTAAATTTATTATTAAGTGTATAAAATAAACACGCAGCGAAACATTACACAAAATGGCACAGCATATACATATGCACATATTAACAAAAATGTAAATTAAGTAAAAACATAATTAACGTTAACAAGACATGACTGAATCATTTTGATTTCCTATCTTTTTATTATTTCTACTTAAATATTTATTTATTATTTGTGAGTTAACACTAAAATTAATTTTAAAGTTAACTAAGAATAAGGAACTGAGCTTATATATTCGCCCTAGTGTGCTTAAATAAAGTTTCCAGATTTTGCTCGACACACTAATTTTATAAGCTTGAATTGATTTGAAGGGGGAATAGCAAAAAAACTATTAATTTTGCATGTTGACCAGAGAGATGCAAAGATTATCGTGTACGTAAGAGAAGACATTCAAAATCAAAAGTCTCGAAAATCAGGTTTTTGTAATTGTATCGTTTCCTTTGTTTGAATTAAGTTCAACTTAGAAATTTGGTAAAGTTAGAATAAAAATTCATCGAAGAACTTGGTTCCCATCTTTCTAGCGGGAACCAATCATACAACTTCATATAATTTTATTGAAATTGGTTAAGTGAATTCACATATTAGCGTGTACGTGAATTTACTAAAATATTTTTATATAATAAGACTAGAAAAAATTATTTTTATTTTGAAATATAAATTAAAAGTATTTCAACATTAGTTTCAAATTAAATAAATATTTATAATAAATGGGTTACATATTATACAATAAAATTTTTAGTATCCTTATAAATTAGTTTAATAAGGAAATTAATAAGGATTGCATTCTGTTATTAAATAAAGAATGTTGCCTTAATTGTTAAAAATTGTTAAATAGTAAACCTTTGTTTTACTAATACAACAACAACCATGTTGGTATGTATGGTAACCATGCTAAAATTACAATTATGTTGTTGACTACTATACATTCTGTCAAGAAAGTACCTTTAATCGACCATTTAAAAAGTTGGCTTAAAGGGATTGTCGAAATGTTTTTTGTTGGCAACACTCTTTTTTCTCTTCTCTTTTCAACACTTACGCTTAATTTTAACAATACATGTTATTTAGAATCCGGGGTCTATTTCTCAACTGTGCAAACTGAAGTGTACACAAAAATTTGGTTATATTTTGATTTGCTATTCTTCGACTCTGAATATTGAGTTTATCTTTCAAAAAGTATATACTTTTGTCAAGTTTGATTCAATGTCAATTTGGCAGTGAGTTTTTTAAAAAATAGGAAATTTTGTATTATTTTTTCACAGGTTTTAAAAATGAAAAAAGGTAAAAGTCAAGCGAGAAGCAAAAGTTTGTACTCGAAAATCAATAGGCGTTTTTGGTGGCTGAGAAGTGTGGCTAGCAAGTGTGCTAGCCTATATTCGCTTAGCGGGACATTGGCATCAGTGTTGCAATCTGTCAAGTGTTATGTTTTGGCAAATAGTAAATCTTGCATATGTACACATAATGCAAGCAAATTACATTTCTTATAAAAATAAATAAATAATATAAATTGAAAATTAAAATGAATACAGAATTAATAGGAATGGTAAAAATGTTGGAAATTTTAAAATAAAACACTGAATACATATGATTGCAATGTTATTTGGAATTTCCAATGAAATTTCACAATAGTTAGCTTATTGCGTTGTCAATACTATTTTCTTTACTGGCCGAAGTGTGTGCCCAGTAAACAACTACTAGCCTAGATATACAAAATAATGTTGTTGTTTTGCGTACATTTCGGTCAGTATAAGCAAGTATAGACCCGCAACTTGTTGTTTATTGCCATACGTGCGAGCCACTGAAAACGCCTAAAATAATATTTGACCAATCAAGCAATGCAAAATTTCTGGGCCTGTATTTGGAAAATGTACATGGAAAATGCACATTTTGAACAAAAAAAAAATCCATTAGGATACAATATTGTTGCCGGTTTTGGCTTTAGTATCGTTAGAAAATATACTTCTTTTATACAAAAGTGCGCTAAAACCGGTATAGACCTACGACACCTTACTATGAAGAACAGCCTCAACATTCAACACCAATATTCTTCAAAGATTTCAGTCTAAGACTATATGCTAAATGGTACGAAACTAACATTCAAATCCATCGTGAGATATTTCCGACAGAACTTAAAACATAGCCAAATAATTCCATGAACAAATACTGATTCATCCCAACACTCTTGCTTCGAGCTTTTAACGTCCTCTAAGTTTTTACAAGGCTGAAAAGAAAAACGCCTTTCTATATTATATAGTGAAATCTTAATATTTAAATGAGTTTTCGCTTTCTCAGAGAGGGTGATTTTCATAAGATTACAAACCCGAGCTAGAAATCTATCTTGCATACAATGCTACGCACCTGCCGAAAATGCACTTTTTCCATTAAGGTGAAATTTTTCAACATTCTTGAAAAAGCTACTTCATATGTTCAGCGAGACGATATACTAATTGTCATGGGTTACTTCAACGCCCAAGTTGACGTTGAAAACACGGGCCTAGAAGGCTGTATGGGCAAACATGGCATCGGCAGAAAAACAGAAAACGGTTCAAGATTTACTGGAATGTGCGCAACGAACAACTTAGGTATATGAGGGACAATATTTTCGCACAAGCGCATCATAAAATCACATGGGTATTGCCAGACCATAGAACTGAAAATCAAATAGACTACATCACCATCTAAGAAATAGCGTTGATTTCTACTGGATGTACGGAATTGCAGAGGAGCGGATATTTTCAGCAATCATCACCTAATCACCGCCGACATCCGACTAAAAATGTGATAACAAAACCAAAACACCAAAGAAAATTAATGTCCAAAACCCTGAAAATCCCAGCATTATTACGGGATATACCGATCAGTTAAAATCGTTACTAAAGTCAACAAGTACCGAAGAGCGCAATGAAATGGCAAACTGTCAAGAACATCTTCACTGATGCCGCTAAGGACCAAATTGGGTTCTATAATCGTTCACGCCAACAATGGATATCAGATGAAACGTGATTCTCATAAGGGTGTGTCGCAAAAGACACGAGGATGCCAGTTGCCGGATACTGTAAGAGAAATGTCTAGGCGACACAATACTCATAAAATCAGACGTTCGACAGGGTTGCGTAATGTCGCCGATGCTGTTCAACATTGTCCTGGACGTAGTCTTGGCAGAGGCATTGGGTCAAGGTGGCGGAATAACATGGGGTCTTCAAGATATCTTGAATGATCTCGATTACGCCGATGGCTTGTGTCTGTTTTCACACAGATATAGTGACATGTCTTGTAACCTAAATCGTTTAGTAACTACGGTATACAGAGCGTGACTTAAAATCAATGTTGCCAAAACAAAAGTTATGCGCATTAATGCCATCGTCCAAGATCATTTTATTATTAACAACTGCTGTCTTGAGGATGTAGTCTTTCTGCTATCTTGGAAGCATCATATTAACAAATGGTTGATCCAGTGCTGATATAAAGAACCGTATTAAGAAGGCAAAACAAACGTTTGGTCGTTTAAATGAAGTCTGGAGATCATCTCAGTTATCGCGCCGAACTAAAATACGAATATTTAACTCCAACATAAAATCTTGTTTCCTATATAGTTGTCAATCTTGGAATGCTGAGGCAAACCGCATCAATGCACTACAAGTTTCGTAAATCAGTCCTTACGCAAAATTGTTGATATATTTTGGCCAAATACAATTCCAAATGAACGTTAATGGTCTTTAACTCAACAAACACCTATAAGAACCGAAATCAAAAAATACAACTGGGACTGCGTCGGTTTCACTTTGCGTAGACCGACTGGTGACACCACAAGAATGGCGATTGAGTGGAAACCGATGGGTAGCAAAAGAAGGGGCAGATCTGCACACACATGGAAAAGCTGGGGACAGTTGAAGCTACTAGTCAACAATCGTACCGAATGGAAGATTTATGTTGCGGCCCTATGCTTTTCCTAGGATTTAAAGGATTCAATATATTAAATTGAGTTGCTGTCCACAGCGAGATATACCTTAATTATAAATTATTATATTTTTCAAAAAATTGTAAAATATTTTTACTATACATTTTGGCAAACTATATGTTATTTATATGATATTTTAATGCTTGCAGAGAAGACTCACTTAGGCTGAGAAAATACTGTGTACTATGAAATTAATTTTAAGTACGGATATAATAGTTTTTTTTTTTTGGAAAGGAGACTTTTTGGCAAACTTAAATAAATGGTTATGCAATGGACACCAGATAAAAATAATTCCAAAATATACCTATATTTGAGTAGTACTTAATCTATAAGTTCATGTCTCTCACCGTTAGCGATAGATACTTAATGTACAAGTCAAATAAAATATTGTAGATAATGAATGCACAATGTACATATATTTAGAATATATTTTTTGTTTTTTTTTTTAAATCTTCCCTTTATTTATACAACTGCCAAGATTTGGCATGTAGTATATATTTTTACATAGTGAAAATTAAAATAATAATTCAAATCAATATTAAGAATTACATGTATAAACTATTAAAAATAAATAATAAAAACTTGTTTTAGTTTAATAGTATTAGATAAATATAAGTTTTAGTAGAAGTAGATGAGTCAATTAATAGATTAGTACTGTACTATGAACATAGTAAATAGTTATGAATTATTTTATTGCTAGTTCTGATTGATATAAGCGTTTCAATCATCTATTATATGTGGCTTCGTTATTTGGTAGCTGCCTCATTGCTGGGTTAGGATGGGAAAGTAATCTATCCGAGTGATTTTTACTATTTTTTCGTATTTGTAGGTTAGATTTGCATGCTGTGCCCCATATTTTGGCTCCATATTTCCAAATTGGAGCCATTATCATTTTATATATATTAGAAGTTTGTTTTCCACTGTCAGTTTTGATTTTAGCAGAGTAGCCAGTATAATTGTCCAAAGCGACGCTTAGTTCGTGTAGATGATATGTACTGTTTTAGTTGTATTTATTTGAACTCCCCATTTGTCGAACCATTCCAGCGTTGCGTTTAAGTAATTCTGCAAGTTGTTTGTGGATTTGTTAAAGTTTATATCAGCTGCAATTAAAGCTGTATCGTCTGCAAAAGTTGCTATCAAACTTTGAGGATCAGAAGGTATCGGGATATTAGCAGTGTATAGCAGGTAGAGTAATGGACCTTATACGCTTCCTTGAGGCACACCAGCTTTCATTTGTTTAAGTTTGGAGATTGAGTCTTTGTACTTTACATAAAAGTACCATATGTATTTTGGAGATAGCTCTTTATTACGAGGTAAAAGTTTGTTGGAACTAGCTGGGACAATTTGGTTAGGAGACCTTCATGCCAAACGCTGTCAAAGGCCTTTACAATGTCTAGATATACCGCAGAGGAAAATTGTGTTGTGTCAATATCACTTATTTTATTTACAACTCTGTGGACTTGTTGTATAGTCAAATATTTTTTTCAAAAACCGATGGTGGTCAGGAATAAGTTTATCTTTGTGGAGATTCTCTCTAGTCTTCTTAAAAGTATTTTTTCAAACAATTTTGACATAACTGGTAATAGACTAACTGGTCTGTATGAGCTTGTTAGAGTTATGTCTTCATTTGGTTTGGGTATAGTTATTACTAAAATACCTAAAGTTAAGAGCGCAATTAAACACATTTCTCAGATATACAAGTGCTTGTCCACCATATCTCGGTGATTTTTTTAATTTGATATTCTATTTTATAGTATTTTTAATCTCTGTTATAGAAACTTTCTTTATTTCAATATTTCCAATAGAGCTCTGTGCTACGTCGCTAGTACAAAAATTAAATTGATTCTTTTGTTGATTCGATTATTTCTTAAAACCACTGATGATGAGTACTTGGCAATATTCGAAGTATCGTTGTATGTTCAGCCAAAATTTCAATAAAATTAAATTAATTTTTGTGTTTGTCCTTTCTTTCTTTCTTTGCTATTCAAAAACCATCTAAATTAAAAATGTTTATCTTAAATTTCATCTGATGACATTTTCAAGTCGCTTTTTTTCTTCTAGTAATTAGTAAATTTCTGCCACACCTTTCAAGGATGTTAAGAAAATGTGTATTTTGTATGCACAGGAACGAAATATTGGTGATCGCAAATGGGAATTGTTATCACCTTGGGAATGTTCACCAACGAAAAGTTGATTTCGTTAGCCGTGAAATCGGTATGGATAATAATATCTCTGGTAACTATCGCCATACCACTAATCTACTATCGAAATGTTGATTTCGTTAGTAATAAAAAATCAATAGAAATATATATTTCTATTAAAAAAAGAATAGAAATGGGAATTTCTATTCTTGATGTTTCAGCACGTATGTTTTGAGCGACCTGTCGTCTAGCTCATTACCTTGCAATATGCATCGATTGCATTTTTGTCTCGCCTTTCATATCGGCACTATTGTTTGTTAGTGCAACTGATTTTATTATTGTTATGTTGTTATTTGAGTTCTTGTTATTGTTTTCAATTTGATGGTGGATTTTAATTATTTTTGTTATCGATTTTATTATTATTGTTTTATAAATGTGACTTAAAATTTTGTTACTAAAATTGTATGTTACAGACCTGTAAGTCTTTTGGCTCAATTATCCAAAATGCTTCTGTCAAATATGCTGTTAAGTTTTTACTTCCGTTTTATTGTTATTAAAATAATATTATACATATTTAATGAAATGTAGACTTAAAAAAAATAACATATTATTAAAAATTATCATTTTGTACCAGGATCAAGCGTACGAAGACGTTGGAAGACGTTGCGAGATTCAATAGCACGCGAAGTTAAAAAGAACGCAACGGTTGAAAATTATATACGTAAAAAGGAGAGTCCAATTATTGCTGAATTAGAGTTCCTTATACCACACATTAAGAGTTCACATTGTGCCAGGTAACGGTTTCGAGTATAAAATAATTTATTTTTTAATTATTCTTTTTATTAGACTTGCTGAAGAGCTTGGTTTACGAGATACTGCTAATTATTCGTATGAAACCGAAGATCCCGAAGATGAAGAGTCAAGTAGACTAATTGACCTAACTGAGGATTATGACATTAAACCAGATATTAAAATGGATGCATCGTATGAAGCATTTGGTAATAGTGTAGATGAATCCACTGATATATATCTCGCAGATGCACTTATACCTGCAGTTCAAATGAATGTATCAGATGCTATTTTTAAGGAATCAACAAATAAAGACTTAGACCAATCACAAAATACAGTCAGTTCAAATATAAATACGACAATTTCTTCACCAGTAATATGTAGTAATCCTACTTCAAGCCAAAGTGTCTTAAACAGTTGGAACACCGAATACTGCGCTGTAGCGCAGTATAAAGAAGGTGAATTTATGAATTCCACGGTACTTTGTCCTAGCCCCATAAATGAAGAAAAACACGTTGACGATAATAAAACTTCAGTACAACAGAAGAAACGTCCTCGGTTGGAACATGAAGAATCAACGGAACTACAAGCAAAGATTTTACAGTTGCTTACCAATTTAGAGCGCAGAGAAATGAACGAACAGCGAGCAGAAAAAGACAATCAAGATGAAGATCGGATGTTTTTACTCTCTTTGGTTTCAGACATAAAACGAGTGCCTCCTTCAAAAAAAATGTTGATTAAAGCTGAAATTGTTACAGCTATTGCACGTGCCATTCCATAAACACATTTTTTTAACTACCTAATAAGTCATGAATTATCAGATTGTTATTCTGTGCTTAACTAATTATGCTAGAAATGAGTTAAGCAGTCAAATTATTTATATGTTATGGCGTTTGTAAAATACTATACACATACATTTATAAAATCTCATCACATTTCTATAGCAAAAATCGTTTCTTATAATGGAAATCGTTTTATAAATTCGGAAATTTGTTAGCATATGTGCAGAAACCGTCGAATATTCGGCATATTTAACGGATAGAATTCTTTGTTCCATATCGTCTTAGATTAAAATTTTAAATGTGGTGATTGATAATTACATCAATTATATTAAGCAGCTGAAAAGCGAAAATAATTCAATTTATGTGTGTATGCATTTATTTTACAAAAATGTGACCAATGTAAAAGGGATTTAAATACTACTAAATTTATTTTCATTTTAGTCGAACCCAAAAAATTACTTAGTCTGATATTATATGTGTCATTGCCTATTGAGACAGGATACAAAATAAAATGAAATAAACAAAATGTTTCAAAAATACATATAACATATAGGAGTTAGGAATACATATATAGTTAGCGACCGTGAGAGAAGACGAAATCCAGCCTTTACGTAACAATCTTGCATTTTTTACACACATTTAGTTGTTATGAAACTAAGCTACGGGAGCATGGTTTTCAAGAGGTATTAAAAAATCTGAAAGTTTTTTTGCAAGAATATTCAATTTTTGCCAGAGCAGATAATAATTTTAATAATCCTGAAAATAGTCCTTTTAACCTGAGGTTGAATATGAATGTGCAGTGGTATGGGTCTTAAGAGAAACTCAGAAGTTGCTATCGGAAGGACCTGGAAAATGAAAGTCAAAAATAAACTGCCTTTTTCAACTTCATCCTTTATTTTTGAATTGATTGTTATATTACATCGCTCAATAAGTCGTACGACTGACACATAGATGGCGCTACCATTGTTAAATCCATATGACGTTTATGAAGTACCAACCTTCAAAAGGCTATGTGTAAAATTTCATGACATTTCGATTAGTCAGGAAAAAGTGACAGGCGCTTAAGTGAAGCTACTTTTGTTATTTTCAAAACAATGGATTCAAAACAATTTCGTGTGTTAAATTATCATTGCTTCTTGATGAAAAAAAATACTGTACAAACTCAGCAATGGCTTCAAAAGTGTTATTCGGACTCTGCTCCATCGAAAAGAACCATTTGTTATTGGTTTGCTGAATTTAAACGTAGTCGTACAGACACCGATGATGGTGAACGTTCTGGTCGTCCAATTGAGATGGTTACTCCAGAAAATATCAAAAAAGTCGAGAAATTGGTTATATGTGATCGTAAATTGAAATTTCGTGAGATAGCTGAGACCGTAAAGATATCAGAAGGTAATGTGTTTACAATTATGCATGAACATTTCACCATGAGAAAGCTCTTTTCAAAGTGGGTGCCGCGTTTACCCACAGTCCAACAAAAACAACAACATGTTGGTGATTCAGAGCGGTGTTTGGCCATGTTTACACGTAATAAATCAGATTTTTTCCGTCGATATGTGACAATGGATGAAACATGGATTCATCACTTCACTCCGGAATCAAAACGATCATCATCTGAGTGGCATCGAGAAGGTAGAGAAGCGTTGGAATGATTGTATTGCCCGTAAAGAAGATTATATTGATGAGTAAAATCGATTTTTGGCAGAAGAAATTTATTTTTCTTAGTTAGTCAGACGATATATTGAGTGATGTGTTAATTTTAATTTTTAATAGATTTCTTTACACTATTGACCCTAACACACACGTTTGAAGTTTTTTGTACGTCGATTGCCCATCTAATCCAATCATTTTGGGAATGGGGTGGCGAACTTATAAAAAAACCCCGCAAAGAGGTATAGTTTTATGCAAACGGCACGGAAAAACTTAGATCCAGTATAGTTATTTTTCGAATTACTATCGCATATTTTTCACTGTCAACTCAGAAATTCAGATTCTACGATACTGGTTGAATCTAATTTTCGAGCTTACTCAATGAAAGTCAAAGTTGGTGAACGTAATGTTAACATGACAAGTCAATAGGTCGTATGATAAGTATCTTAAGATAATCTTTTGAATCAGCTTGCAAGTAAGCTTACACCAAATCAACACTGGTTTGATAGAACGCCGATTTAGGGCAGCTGAGAGTCAGGAGACGGAATTGCTACGTATGATGCTGAGGAGAAATACCGTCGAAGGTTTAATAGTAGCATGATAACACAAGTCTTACATGCGAAGACATGAAAGGCATATTGAATGAGGTACATTACAAGGAATATAAGAAAGGATTTGCTGCCAATGAAATTTTACGTGTTCTATAAAATGTACATGATCACATTAAATTTTTTACCAACTATGGAACTTTCAGATATGAGGAATAAATTTCATAAGCCTAGGATTGGCAAAACACAAGACTAGTTAGGTTGAATATTTCTCAAATATCTGATCCTTTTTCAGATAATTATTATTACGAAAAAATTTGAAGTTAAAGTTTTTTGCATCAATATTTTAATGCATTTAAAATACAATTTAAACAAAATTAAAAATGAGATATGGTACATTCATATGTTAATTAACGTTATTCAATAATTTAATCGATTGTTTTCGAAAGTTTTAAATATATAAAATAAAATTCACTTAAAAATCACTTGTTCTGCTGCATGGGCGATTCACTCTTTTTGCGAACGCTCCAGCGTATAGCAAAATAAATTAAACGAAGAATTATAATGAACTAAGATAAATCCAAATAATGAGTGTTCAGCGATGTCCATTAGCAATACAAAGTCAAAAACAGCTTAACGCCGAAAATCCAACTTAATTGAAAAAAATCACGACACTTTTTCACACCAAAACCTAGGTTGTGTATCTCACTCTTAGAGTGAACAATGCCGTACTTTACTGGTAAGCTTATCTCATACGCTCACGCTGATATTCTTTCCAACAAATCTAACAGCACATTCCTGCTCAACATCAACATGTACTATAAATAGCGTCACAGTAAACACCGCAAACTCGATATCTAACACCTTGAGTTCTACATTAAGCCACTATTCAGTACAAAAAACCAAAGTTCAAAAAGAAAGTTAGAAAAGAACTCGTTTTAGAAACAGTACTAGAAACAGAAGAAGAAACAGCTCAAGAAGAGACACAGCATCTCTCATAAATCTTTTGTTACAAGTAGAAAACAATTTTGAGCTAAAAGTTTTAAACAGTGAAAAAATAAAAATCCAAACGAAAACCATTGAGTCTTGATATGATAGTAAAGCAACTCGAATCGAAAAAAACTGAATTTTATACCTACAAGATGAACGAAGTTTTGAATTTATTTTGAGAAACATGCATTCGTCTGTCAGCACCTAGGACATAAAAACAGCTTTGTCGGAAATGGGTCATAAAGCTATAAACGTGTTTAATATGAAGCACAGAAAATCGAAAAAACCAATTCCTCTCTTCATTGTAGAACTTGAGCCTCATCAAAATAACAAGTAGATCTACCGTTCTCACGTTTGAGCCTCCTCGTCCTAAACGGGATGTGCCTCAATGAAGTCAAATGCGTCGTATACGAAGGAAACCATCCCGCAAACTATAACGGTTGTTCGACCTATAAACAGCTACAAACTGCGAAATTTCCAGCCCAAAGACCCAAACCAACATCAACTATAAACAAAGAAACTGACGAAGAAAAAGACAAAGCATATACCTAAAGTGCTCCCAAAAGAAGTTATAAAGGCGTGCTAGTGGAAATATCACCTGAATCACTTACCATTTCAAAATCTCCGGATACAATGAGCGAAATTATGTCCGACAGTGAATTAAATATAGTATTCTGGAATGCGAATATGTTATTAAAACACTGTTTAAAGCTACAAGAATTTTTAAAAGATCTCAAAGTAGACATCATGCTAATATCTGAAACAAGTTTCAGATATGGAACAGCTCATGGGCGAAGTGGCATTTAACTTAAAACAAATATATTACACAATGAATTGCAACAATATCGCACTGAAAAAATTCAAGCAACTAGCATTTTAACAATGAATTGGCGTGGCTCAATAATAACATCAGTATACTGTCCACCAAAACACGCAACTAAGACGGTAACATATAAAAAATCCTTTAGAACCCTAGATAACAGATTTGTTGCGGGATCCGATTTTAATCCTAAACACATTGAACACATTCTCGGCTTTCAACATCCAAAGGGCGATATATGCTTGCGGCAATAAGAAGCGAAAACCCTTCAACTATCTCGTCTGGAGAGCCAACTTATTGGCCAATGGATCCAAAAAAAAGACCATACTTGTTAGACTTCTGTATTACTAAAAGAGTGCAAAAAAACGACACGTTCTGTAAATCTAGCTTTAATCTTTCGTCAGACCACTCGCCAGTTTTAGAACGGTTAAAATCGATGATGCAACTTAAAGTTGAAAAATGCTATCTGCACAATAAATTAACCAACTGGGATACCTTTAGGCATACACTTAAGACATTACCTAATGTAAAAATGGCCCTTAAAACAGACGAAAAAATTGCGCTTGCAACCGAATATCTTATAAGGAGTATTCAAAAATCATCCTGGAGATCCACGCCTCCAAATATCCAAAAGCTCGCTACACCATTATGTAGTACGATTTAAGAACTTATTAGAACCAAAAAAGCACCGAGAAGGCGCTGACAACAAACCAAATCTCCAAAAGATAAAAGCTTTTCAATACCCTGATCAAAAGTCTAAAAGATCATCTGCAAGCGACCAGACATTTGGAAATACAAAGAAATCTCCAATGACTGGGCTTAACTACTATCACCAACTACTCACTCTGACCATCAGTCCATAGTTTTTATTCCTAACATTAATGAAGCCCCAAATAGTATAACTAAAGAGATTAGAGAGGTATTACAACAAACACACCAACTGGACCTTCTGGTACGATGATTCTCGATTTTCAACATAAAAGTCGAAATTAAAAAACTAAAAATTAATAAAGCACCCGGCTATGACTTAATTACTTCAAAAATATTAAAGGAGCTACTGGACCAAGCAATATTACTACTGCGAAACATTTATTGAGGAGGCTTTATATCCCTCCTCAATTCAGGGTGGCTCAAATTAGCATGATACTCAAACCGGGAAAAACGGCTGAAAATGTTAAGTCGTATAGACCAATCAGTCTTCTACCGATTATGTCCAAGTTGCTGGAAAAGTTATTCCTTACCAGATTAATACCCATTGTCAATATAAGGAGACTAATTGCGGAATATCAGTTTGGTTTCAGAAAAAAGCATACTATAATAGAGTAAATGCACAGAATGGTTTATATTATACATACAGCATTTGACAAAAATGAGTTCTGCACAACAGCTTGACATATCTCAGAGA